GTGCAGTCTGTGGACTGAGCTCCTGCCCTGGGCTCCTTCCATACGTTACAGTCTTCTTCTGTCCTCGTTAATATTCACTGCTACTTCACGTCCTCACACACTGCACTACATCAAACACCCACACATTAAATATTGACCGCAGTTTTTTTTCTCCTCCTGACGGTCACTTCACGGCACTTAATACAGGAAGTGAACATCCGGAGACGTCCATTTGTCTCCGTCCTCCTGCTGGAGTGGAGACACGTGACAGGAGGTGTGTGTTTGTCCCCTCCACTCACCAGGGTGTTATATAGACAGCATATATATGTATATATATATGTACATATATATGTACATATATATGTATATATATATGTACATATATATGTGTAGATATGTATGCACATATATACATATATATGTACATATATGCATGTATATACGTGTATATATGTAGATATATGTATGTACAGTACATATATGTATGTATATATATATATATATATACATATATACATACATATATAAACATATATGTACATATATACGTATATATGTATATATACATACATGTGTATGTATGTATATCTCTATTTATATATATGTATCTATATATATGTAGATATATGTATGTATATATGTGTATATATGTACATATGTTTGTATATGTATATATGTACATATATGTATGTACATATATACATATATGTACATATATATGTATATGTATACATATACAATACAATACATATATACATATATATGGGTATATATGTATATATGTGTGTATATGTATATGTATATAGTGTATGTAGATATATGCACATATATACATATGTATGTATACATATATGTACATATATACGTACATATATATATGTATTTTTCTGTAATGCAAACCACGTGTCGTAGAAACTCATTTTTCATTCTGTCTTTCTTCGCGGTGATAACGGTGACGAGATCTTTATAAACGTGTGGTGAACGACGGCCGTACTGTAGTTTTGGTAGGTGGCGTAGACATTTGTGTATCGCCGTGGAAACGTCAGGCGTGAAATGACCGTGCAGCTCAGGCATCCGTGCAAAAAAAAAGTGTGAAGAAGGTGAACGTCTTCCTCAGGTGAGCGAGGAGCCGAGGTGAAGAGACTGAGACGGAGACTGGGACTGAGACGGAGGCTGAGACGGAGGCTGAGACGGAGACGGAGACTGGGACGGAGGCTGGTTATTATGGGCTGGGCTGCACAGCATCAACTCCTCATTACATTAATGAAGGCATATTTTCAAGCTCACTGGTGTTGTAGTGGTAACAGGCTGGCGGGGGGGGGGGGGGGGGGGTGGAGGAAGTGGATTGACCAGATGAGTGGCGCTCCATACGCTCTGTGAATCACACCAAGAAATTGGTACCAGCTCGTGTTGGAGCCCCCACTGGGGGGAGCTGGAGTCTCCGTGGTGGATCTGTTTTTTTTGGTCGGTCGGAGAACGCCTCACGGCAGATGTACTCTGGACCATCAGGAGGTTGGACCAACACCCCACTGGACCACAGCAGCAGTGGGCTGTAGATGTAGTACTCATGGGTACCAAGAGAGTTTTTGTTCCTGCTCAAAACACCTGTTTTTTTTTTCAAACCGGCAGTCTTCCCCAGTTATGGATTGTCATCGTTTTTGTTTTTTTTGTTTTTTTGTTTTTAAAGACGATAATTGCTGGATGTTTTGTTGACCGTGGTCCTGGTCATCGCTCTACCGTTGGCAGTAGCGTGGACGTGGGCTGGACAACGACACGTTCGCTCGTTTTCAAGAGCAGGACGGACGACAGGAGACGGCGCCAGCGCTCGGCGAGCAGCGCCGCCCCGCCGAGCCTCCAGATGGACTCTGTGACAGGAAGAAGACGGTGATGCTCCAAGTGGAGGCTGAAACATTTGGCAGGATCCACGGACGGGCCACGTTCTTCTGCCTGAGCGGTTTTCATTCCTGCGTCTGCTCCAAGATAAAGCATTAATTAGTGGAAGGAACTGGAAGGAAATAGATGGACGGTTTGTTTTGTTTGTTTTGTTTTGTTTGTTTGTCTGGTTTGGCAGACGACCCTTCCTTTGGTTTGGTGTTGAACACGACCTTTGGTTCAGGTCCTTCTGGAGGTGCAGCGACGACGGTTCTGGAATTCCTCTCACCCTGGAACAAACGATCATTTACTGGACTTGAACTGAGAAAACACGGTTAAAATCAAATAAAAAACTGTCAATGAGCAGAGTGGAACACTAGAGGTCACTCATCAGTGTCTTTGTCCTGTGGATAATGGTTGTAATTGCAGGAGCTTCACAGAGAGAGAACTCCCAGGAAGTCCAAGTCAATCAAGGATTATTTTCTTCCTTTTATTTTCGTTGCGGTGATGTTTCTGCGTCGGTGGACGCCCGCCCCCGCTCCCCCCAAAAAGGGGGAGCTCCTTCGTGACTCATCGCTGAAGTGGTTCTAGCTTCAGAGTCCCAGCACCGCGCTGTGGAAGAACCGGATAAGACGAGACGCGGTCGGAGTCAGCCGTTTGATGTCGTCAAGTCTCCCTGCTGTGGACTAATGAGGAGGGATCGTTAGCTGCTAATGAGTGAACGTTAGCCCTAGCTGAGCTAGCTACAGATGATCAACCTCACATCCCACCGTCACTGGTCCGTTAAAGACCAGAGGCATCGGGAAATATAGCCGTGCTTCACCAGGACTGTGTGTTGGCAACAATCTGTCGATACGATACCTACGTATCACGATACAGAGACGACGATACGATATATATCGTAGATCTACACTTTTGGAATCACGAGAGAAGAAAGAAAAGAAAAAGAACATGAACCAACACCAGGAATATTGGAGAAAATCAAGAACTGATCAATGACTGAGGAGATTGATCTGGGATCAGCAACTGGAATATCGCGATATTTCAGTGTATCAATATTTAGATCTCGTGAGTCTATTTTGATTTTAATAATAATTCCAAACTAACAAATCAAGTCTTTGTCTCTTCATCTATTTATTTTTATTTATTTTTTGTGTGAACATCAAATCCTTCTCTGCTTCTTACAGTTGACAAATGATGGATTTCTGTCCAGGAGTTTCAAAAAAAAAAAAACCCTCCAGGGCTCGAACGTCCTCTGTCGTCTCCGTGTCCTTGCTAACACCTGATGTCTCTGGGTTTGTCTCCAGGTGTCCCCGCTAAACCTCACATCTCAGGCTTTGAGTCTGCAGTGCCAGAGGGCGACAAAGTCACCCTCACCTGCACCAGCACCGGCAGCAAACCCCCCGCCAGGCTGATCTGGTACCGCGGAGACCAGGAGCTGGAGGGTGAGGATCGTGTCTGTGTCTGTGTCTGTGTCTGTGTCTGTGTCTGTGTCTGTGTCTGTGTCTGTGTCTGTGTCTGTGTCTGTGTCTGTGTCTGTGTCTGTGTCAGTCTGTGTCTGTGTCTGTGTTAACTGTTACAAATACTTTTATTCAGCCTCAACCTCAAAGAAAGTAGAGCTTGTAATTGATTGTTGCTTTGAGTCCTGCCCCTACAGGACTGAGGTGTGTACTGCAGCCAGACACCAAAAAACTCACTCCCTGTTTGTGTGTCTATAAACTGTATTTCTAAATAAATAAATATATAGACATGTAGTATACATATATACATATATATGTGTATATATGTACATATATATCTTACGGTGCGTTATACTGTATGTTTTGTGTATATGTGCAGCTGTGAAAATGAATATTTATGTATATGTGGATGTGTATGTTAATATATCCATATATGTTGATGCAGACGTCTGCATTTAAACTGCTTCATATAAGTGTGTGTGTGTGTGTGTGTGTGCAGGCTTGTTGTTTTCTTGTTTCTCTGCTGGTTGGACTGGGATTTGGAAGTGTTGACGTTTGGACGTTTTTTTTTCCTCACGTGTCAGAGTGTGTGTGTGTGTGTGTGTGTGTGATCCTGCTGTGTGGTTTTGTGTCCTCGCCACATCGCCTGCTGTCTCACCATGTGACCCAAACCTGCCTGCATATGTAGATGTGAGTGAGTGTGTGATCACACACTCACACACACACTGCTGCTGGTCCGTGTGTGTGTGTGTGTGAAAAACACATTACATACATCATAAAATACATTTTTAGATCCCACCAATGAGAGTCAGAATCAGGTTTGAGGTTCAGTTTGGAGTTAAACTCAAATTAGAGTTAGACTCAGATTAGAGTTAGACTCAGATTACAGTTAGTCTCAGATTAGAGTTAGATTTAGATTAGATTTAGTCTCAGATTAGAGTTTAATTCAGATTAGAGTTAGACTTAGATTACAGTTAGACTCAGATTAGAGTTAGGCTCAGATTAGAGTTAAACTCAGATTAGAGTTAGGCTCAGATTAGAGTTAGACTCAGATTAGAGTTAAACTCAGATTAGAGTTAGGCTCAGATTAGAGTTAGACTCAGATTAGAGTTAGACTCAGATTAGAGTTAAACTCAGATTAGAGTTTGAACTTTTTCTTTTTCCTTTGGGATTTTGGAGCCGTTTGTGAAATTCTGATGAACTGATTTCAGGATGTTATGTATATATTTACATTTGTATTTGTCTTGTTTTTCCTTGTGCTAACGTTAGCCTATTTCTAGCCTACGCTAACTCAAGGCTAACCTTTAGCTGACGCTGTAGTAACGTCCTCACTGCAGCAGCTGTGGATGTTTGAATTGGATCACATTTAGTGTAAAATCTTTAGTGTTTTTATAGTGTGTGTGTGTGTGTGTGTCACCCCCATCAGTGGGAGGGGGGGGGGGGAGGGGGGGGGGGGGGTAGAGTGGAGAGAGTCTGGATGTGATCTAGGCAGGGGATCAGTGGAGAATCCAGCAATAAAAGGCTGGGTGGAGGAGAGGATGAAGGGATGAGGAGGAACACTGCCACACGAGGTCAAAGCCGCGGCTCCCGTGTTAGTGATAAGGCAGGGAAATGAGCAGGAAGAGGAGAGAAGGGGAGAGCAGAGAGGGCGTCATGAGGGGGCAGATTAGGCAGCTTTGTTCCTCACTGATTACCTGAGCAGCAGCAGCAGCAGCAGCAGCAGCAGGAGGTTCTTAGCTAACTTTTAGCAGTTTGTTGCTAACATCGAGCCTCTCTGTAGCCTGGACTAGTTAACTGGTCGTGTCGTAGTAAACCCTGTGTTTGGTTAGTACTTCTGAGATGTTGATGTTGTTGTTGTTGCTATGTGTATTCTTCTCTTCATTTGCCGTTCTGTTTGGCTAACTCCCCCCCTCCCCTCCCCTCCTCCCCTCCTCCTCCCTCTGATCCACTGTCAGACGACCAGTGAGGTCAATGACAC